TGCTTAAACCAATTTAATGAGCAGCTGTAGGCCTCTAATGACTGCTTTTTAATGGATACTCAAATTATAATTATCTTTATGCACACTTAGTGATACAAATAAATGAAGAAAGGGGCAATACTCCAAGAAACATACTAGAGACACAATGCTGTAGAGTACTTCAGCTGATTGGTTATTAGTGTAATATTTTAAGCTGTGGTATTTGTTGGACTAGCTAACAGGTCTTTGTTGTGTTGTATTTCATATGCTTCTCGTTTTTTTTTTTTTTTTTTTTTTTTTTTTTTTCCTGTAGATATTGGCCACTTTTTATAATAAAAGGGATCCTTGGGAGATGGGAGTGCATAAAAGGAATGGGGTTGTCTATCTTGATGTGCATAAACTACCTGAAAGGCCACAGACTGAGTTGGATCGAAGAAGGTACTGGACTTTGATTTATTCTTTAAAAATTCGTATGGTCTTTCTAGGATGGCAATGACTATGTTCTTGGAGCATTTGGAATTGCTTCCCTTGTATGTTTAATGGAGTTATTGGAATTGCTTATTGCTTTAATCAATGGAATTCTTCTGCTTAAGAAATAGATTTATTAATGAATATCAATGTTTTCAAACCCTTCTTCTCAAGTTGTACCTGAAGGATAGAGTAACAGCCAACAATTTCGAGTTTCATTATGAAAGAACGGGAAATTTGATAAGGATTGTCAAAGCTCAACGTGTTGCTATTCTTGAATTTAATATGGTAATGAGATGTAATATAGAGCAGATGCAGAAGTGATTTCATAAGGTATATGATTTACTTCATTGAAGTTGGGCATAAATGCTTCCTGTCATCTAGATTGTGGGAGATATACTTGTGTTTTAATCAATGTATTAAAAGCGTGAGGCTTGGGCGAGGCGTTTGAGGGATAGCCCAGCCTAGGCATGAGGCGAAGCCTCACGGGACCTAAATTTTTTAATATATACACTAAACTGTACACATATATTATATTAAAAAAAGAAGAAGATAATTAATCAATAATTACCCTGAGCACACACATATATTATAAATACATATACACATATACACACACACACACACACACACATATATATATATATATATAAAATAGAGGATGAAAAGCACAATGAGCACACATATAACAATGCACGCAGACAACACACACATCCATTATATAAAAAGATAAAAATCAGAAAAAAAAAAGGCAGAGAGACAATAGTGGAACGAAGAGGCATGAGGCAGTTAAAACCCTCCCCAAAATTTGGGTTTGGGAGTAAAAAAAAAAAAAAAAAAAAAAAAATCCCTTGAGGCGCACCTAGGCAGCTCCGGTGACGCCTTCCGCCCACTCCCTCAAAACAGAGGCGGCAACCCTCAAGCCCAGCCTCATAGGGCGCCTAGGCAAACCTGAGGCGAGCCTTTTAAAACATTGGTTTTAATTGATACCTTAGCAGCTAATTGTAACTGATATTTTGTTGTTCTTCATCTAACTGGTTCAAGAGGGCTAAGCATGCCTAGATATGCATCTTTCTATTATTGCTTATTTTCATTTTCAGGCGTGCTTTATGCAATGTTATCCTTTCAACTCAGGTGTTACTGGGGGTATTGTTTTGAGAGTCTTGCCACTGAAGATCCAGGAAGAGGTGATGGAGGGATACATCATGTTGATGCCAATGTTGAATACTGTTCTGTGATCAAAACAAAATTAGGGGCTCATCGCATTCTTATGGGTGCTGAAATGGATTGCTGTGACTCGACTGATGATGGAAGGAGGTTTTATGTGGAATTAAAGACAAGCCATGAGGTTGACATTTGTTTTTCTTCACTCTCCTGTACATGCAACTCTTTTTCTTCTCTGAGCTTTCTTATGTAACTGACCGTAAGTTTCTCATTCAATTGTGCAGTTGGACAACCATAAAATAGAGTATGAATTTGAGAAAGAGAAGCTCCTCAAGTTTTGGGTACATTACTGTTTTCTTACCTAAAAACACACACGGTCTTCAATAGCTTTTGTTAGAGATTGACATGCAAAATGGTAGAATTTAGATTGTACTTCAGTCTTATCTAGTTTTCTCAAGGAATTGGTTGTCATTGTCTCTAGTCCTTTTCCTATTTATATTTCAAAGCATCTGTTTTTTTTTTATTTTTTTTGTAAAGGAGTGAACCTATCTTTTATACTTACGTCAGGCTTCTGTAAAATCTGTAATCGTAAATGAGTTAACATTTCTCTTATATTTGGTGCAGATTCAATCATTCTTAGCAGGTGTTCCCTATATTGTCATCGGATTTAGGTAATCCAAATTGCTACTTAAGCCTTTTACTTTCGAAATTGGTACTTAAGCTTGTCACTTTCTTACTGGGTAGACCATTAACTGTGTACATCAAAATTTTTTCAACATGGCTTGGATAGCTTATGCGTATTAAAAGGTGCAAAAGAATGGTAATTTGTATAGTTGACATAAATAACTTAAATTCATAGAAACACATGTATTATATATTCCACTGTGCAGTTGCTTGTTCCGGGAAGAGTTTTTGTGGTAGCTCTTACATTTGCTACTCTACACAATTTATATATAAATATATTCCCTTTTTACAGGAACGATGCAGGTCAACTTGTCCGCACAGAGAGACTAAGAACCAAAGATATAACGCAAAGAGTGAAAATGAAGAACTACTGGCAGGTAAATTTTGTTTTCTGTGATGCAAATGGTTTCTGAGCATACAACCAACCACCTTCCTACCCGTTACACTGAAAAAAAATTAATTTATCGATCTTAGTGTTTGTGAAGTTTATCGCTCATGCTTGTGCTGAATAAATGTCTATCTGTCACTTTTAATGAAACTGGTTGTCACTTCTAATGAACCTGGTTGGCAGGGAGGAGTTTGCTTGGCATTTGCTGATGAGGTATTATGCTGGCTCTATGGGACCGTAAAAGACAGTGAGTTTGAAATCTTTGTCTCCTGTTTTCCCTTCAGCTTCATTGGTTTCCCATTCAATTAGAAAAAGTATAGAAAAGAACATGATGCTCTACTCCCTTTCTTAATTGAAGAAAGAGATAGGAGAAGGAAATGTGAGAGAAGATGAAGAAAACATAGATGGTTACGAAAAATGAAAACTGAAAGCAATATTAAATTGTTTCTAGGTTTAGTTCTTTCTGTTCTTCCTTTGTCTCTCTCATTTCTTTCCTCTTCCTCCCCTCTTTAGTTAAAAGATAAAAAGATTTCTAAAACAATTGCAAAATAGCTTGCGTATAACTTTTGAGGTCAATGCTTAACTTGTACTCCTGCAACTGGCATGCGAAACATTACAACTATATTTATAACGGTTAACACATCGCTACCACATGAGTGTGTTATATATTCTATAAAACTGATCGTATTTACAGTAATTCACTTCTAATAGCTTTTCGTAGCTGAAGTAGTGAGATTCAGATTTCTGTTGAACGTAGACAATGTTTTCCTCAGCAGTCAGACGGTGCGCTTGTTTAATAAATGTGCTAATTTTTACAGATGAAGATTACATATTGCAGTTTACTCATCCTTACCAACGTTTGGAGCTCTTACAAGCCCAATCTTGCCCAGAAGAAATTACTAACCATGTTCAGCAATTGTAGACGTTTAGTGACGCACCCCGTATTAACCCTATTTTCCCAGTCGTTTTTGCTTCAAATTGCTTGTACCTCCTTGAGGCATAAAATGCACTGTTATCCCCAACATTGCTGTTTGTCTTTCTTTTCGGATTTCATAGTAGTCGAATGGCTCATACGATTGTCATGCGGCCGAGATCACCACCAGTCGAGAGAATTGTGTAAATGAACCTCTGTTTCTTGTTTTCATTCTGCTTTATTAGTTTACCAACATCTTTCGGTATCATACATGCTGTTATCTACAACTTTTTTTTTTTCAAAAAAGGGTGAATTACCAATTTAATTCTTGAATTATCATCTGAGGGAAAATTAGATCTCTAAACTATTTTTTTTTCAACAAAATCAGTCACTGAATTATAAAAATCTGCCAATTACATCCCTAATATTAGATTTAAAGTTACTATATTCAACTTTCTGTCAATTTAAGTCATGTTACTTGCATATGATATACATTGGAAGATAGATTGGTAATATTTTTATAAAGAAATAGTGTATAGAGTTAACTTTGGAGAGTAAATTAGACATAAGATTCGCAACCTATATGAAATGTTAAGGGCATATAGGAGAGAAAAGGACGGTATTACACTCTAAAGTGTGTGAAGTGACTTCATTTGACCAAAAATTGGATAAAATAGTTTTGAATATAATAGTAGGGATGAAATTAGCAATTTTTAATGAATTTAGGGACTTATTTTATCCAAAAAATAATTCAGAGACCTAATTTTCACTAAGGTGATAGTTCAGGGACTAAATCAGCACTTCACCCAAAAATCAAAACAAGATGTTAACGTGATTTAATCGTAACCGTTTAAATAGTAAGGGAGGGAAGGGGAAGATAGATTAGGAGGAGAGAAAATCCTACTCCAGATTGAGGAGGAGAAAGTTAGGGGGTTGGTGGGACCTAATTTTTGTTAAAATATAAATAGAGGTGTGCTATCCACACACTTTTTTTTACTTCATACATATCCTCTTAATTTATGATCATCAGATCAATTGAATTAAAGAAGATCAAAAGGCAGAAATTAACAAGGGAAGTATGAGAAGTAAAAACGAATGTGTGAATAGCACATCCCTATAAATAAAATAAAAATATGAATTTATAACCGTTTGATTTGTGGTGAACGGTCAAAATTACTTGATTCCTAAGATCCTCACTCGGAATCTGGGGAGGATCCTTTTCCGTATCTGTTGACCCACTTATCTTAGAGATAGGGTAGTACATGTCGACCGACCAAAAAAAAACGCGTGGTAATAGTAAATGTTGTCCCAAGAAACATCAATCTCCTACTTATGAGTTATGAAGTCGGAAACAGGGAAGCACAAAAATGCTTGCCAATTCAAGTTTTCTTACCTTCTTGTTCATTCATGGACTAATACTACATCTGCTAGTAGTAATGTCAGAGTCCAGATACGTGGCGACCGCCACGGCCACTCCTCAAGATTTTTCTGGCCTTCACACGGATGAATTTACAGTAGTATCAAGAAGAGTCTACACGGGATCGCGGCCGCCGTCACCAAAATCTAACGTTCCATCTCATTTCTGGCCACCACCGGAGCGATACCCGCCGCCGCCGCCACAACAACAGCCATGAATTTAAGGTAGTATCAAGAAAAGTCTACACGATATCTTAGAAACTCTATATTTCCCCATCTGCCTGTTCATGGTTCATCATGCAATGTCCATTTTGCTGTATGCATGTTATTTTACTTTCTTTTCGTTAGTTTATGCATGTTATGTTACTTTCCTTATTTCCGTGGTCAAGAATTCAATAATCAAGATCTCACAGTCGAAAAGTCAAGTGTATATGATAAATCGGAGCATAGTAGAATTTTTGCTCTCCTCATGAAATCAAAAGTAATAATATATACATCCGCCTTTTAATGTTGCAAACCACAAAAAATGAATGACTTGTCAATGTATTTGATCAAAGATAGTATGAGATCTGTGCTTTCAAAGAGAACAACATATTTGTAAATTGCCGACGAACATAAGAATCTTCATCCGTTCATTCATTCAAATCAGGGTTTTCTTTTCAACATCCGAAAAACCTGATTGTTGCGGAACAATTTCAATTGTCAATGCATATTACGTGTGACGGAATTTCCAGCACTTTTAGTCAGTGCTTTGGTAATGACATGAGTAACGATTCCAACGAGACAGAAAAAGAGGCAAAGAGAAACTGAATGTCGCGTCTCAATTTCGTTATCCAGTCCATCACGAAAAACCTGCCTGGAAAAATGAATGCACGAGTGTTAGAACCGAGAAACTCACGGACGCAGACACAGCAAAGTGAGAGGAAAAGAGCTGCCGTGCAGCAAATAGATCCACAACCAACAAGTGAATCCAAGCAGAAGCTAATGTCATCTCATTTGAAAACATCCTTCCTATACCAGGCAGCTGCACATATAGTAGATAGGCAGAAAAAAAAAAAAAGAGTTTTGTATAACGACATCTTCATAACTTATCAGAACTGAATGTATACGTGCTAATACATACCTCAGGAAGCCAGTATTTACTTGCAAAAATCAACTGTAGCGTTCTAGGAGTCCAATAGAGGTATAGTAGATAGGCATAGAGAATTCCCAGCACGATATACGGGATGCTACTTTCAATGGAAATTTTCATCTGCATTTCCATGAGTTGAAATAATTAGGTACGTCAGTTTAAGTTCAGCAAACCATGAAAAAAAAAAGAGGGGATTTTCAACCTACCAAGATAACAGATCGAGGAAATTTAAAGTCGTAAAGACTCAACTTGAGATGAAATATGCCATCGGCCCATCAGTACAACCATGTATTTCGGGGAAGATATGTAACGATTTGGGGAAAAAAACACACACAACTGAATAGTGAATACGTTCATATAACAGCTTTCAAATATATACGACGATTATGATAATTAATCTACAAGTTGAACGAAAATTGATACATTGAATGAGAATCAGAGGACTGAAGTAAATACAGAAACATACTAGTTCAGCTTTAGGAGCCAGAGCCATGAATGAGGGCATAGAACGGGAGAACTGCAGTTGTTCCGAAAGTAAAATCAGTGCTAGCAGTTTTATCAGTAATATTTGAAACTAAGCCTAGCTCCAGCCCTTCCATCCCTTATCCTCGCACTAACATGCTGGGCGTGACAGCAAACGTATGGATCACAAGAACATGAAATGGCTAAAAGTTATTTACAACTTTTTACATTACTGTCAATGCATAGATGTATCCAAATTACTCGACTTAATATAAATTATAAGGGACTCGGATTCTCTCCGGAACTTTTTCTGTACCCCATCTTAGCCGTCCGGTTAAATCGTACGGTGGGAAACGCTAATGTTTTCCATCAAAACAGCATCGTTTCTATCCTATACAAACTACCTGTTAACAAAACCCTTTGGTGTCTTCACGAGTGCTTTAGAGAGTATCACGTGAGAGCAATTGTGGTATTATGAAGAGTGGGATTGGTATTGGCAGAGCTAGCAAGTAAAATGATCAAAATTAATTCACTTGTTTCACAAGAAACAAATCCAAGGATTAATGTTTGATTAGTAGAAGCTTCAGTGGAAAGAATAAGATGACGAGAAAAATGAAAAAAGGGTGAGACATATTACTCAACTTGTCCTGTACATAAATATAAATGAGCTTAGTTAAGTTGGTTAGAGCAGTGTGCTCCACTACTTTGCATTTAAGTTTGAATCTTGTTTTTGTAGTTTAGATAATTTTAATGTAGAATTTCATTTGAAATTCGGGGTAGCAATTCTGCTGCCTTCTCTTCGGCTTTATATACAAAGAAAGGGTTTGAGATTCGGGGTGATAATTCCGGTTTGAGGTGAATTCTATCATTGTATCTGTGACACACTCGTATTAGAGATATAGAGTATATGTATTATAATAATATTATTTTTTGAAAGAAGCAAACAATAGGAAATCAATGCTTATTTATCCAAAGAAACATCAATCCTCTATGAGTCATGACTCTCCTCCCAACTCTATGTCGGAAACAGGGAAGCACAAAAATGCTTGTCAATCCAAGTTTTCTAACCTTCTTGTTCATTCATGGACTACTACTTCTACAACTGCTAGTAGTAATGTCGCAGTCCAGTTACATGGCAACCGCGACGGCCGCTCCTCAAGGTTTTTCTGGCCTTCCTATGGGTGAATTTAAAGTAGTATCAACAAGAGCCTACAGGAGATCCCGCGCCGCCGTCACCGAAATCTAATGTTCCATTTCATTTCCTACCACGACCGGAGTGGTCTCCACCGCCACCGCACCGCAACCGAAACCTAATGTTCCTATTCATTTCTTGCCACCACCTGGAGCAATGTCCGCTGCTACCACCACCACCACCACCATCTGCCTGTTCACGACTTTCATTACGATTCACCAAGCAAGCCCATTTTGCTGTATGGATGTTATGTTACTTTCATTAGTGTAAGCATGTTGCGTTAATTTCATTAGCGTATGCATGTTGTGTTACTTTCATTAGATCTGTGGTCAAAAGTCTAATGACCAGGATCCAAGAGCCGAAATTTCAGGTGTATAATAGACTGGAGCATAGTAGAATTTTAGCTCTCTCCCTGTGAAATCAAAAGTAATAATACATAGATCCGCCTGTTAGTGATGCAAACCACCAAAAAAAGAAAAAAATGAATGACTTGTCAATGTATTTGATCAAAGATAGTATGATATAAGTGCTTTCAACGAGAACAACATATTTGTAAATTGCCGACGTACACAAGAATCTTCATGCGTTCATTCATTCAAATCAGGGTTTTCTTTTCAACTTCCGAAAAATCTTGATTGTTGCGGAAAATTTTCAATTGTCAATGCATATTACGTGTGCCGGAACTTCCAGCATTTTTAGTCAGTGCTTTGGTAATGACATGAGCAACGATTCCAACGGGACAGAAAAAGAGGCAAAGAGAAACTGAATGTCGCGTTTCAATTTCGTTGTCCAGTCCATCACGAAAAACCTGTCTGGAAAAATGAACGCGCGAGTGTTAGAACCGAGAAACTCAGACATAGACACAGCAAAGTGAGAGGAAAAGAGCTACCTTGCAGCAAAGAGATCCACAACCAACAAGTGAATCCAAGCAGAAGCTAATGTCATCTCATTCGAGAACATCCTTCCAATACCCGGCAGCTGCACATATAGTAGATAGGCAGAAAAAGAAGAGTTTCGTATGAAGACATTTTCATAGCGTATCGGAACTGAATGTATATGTGCTAATACATACCTCAGGAAGCCAGTATTTACTTGCAAAAATCAACTGTAGCGTTTCAGGAGTCCAAGAGAGGTACAGTAGATAGGCATAGAGAACTCCCAGCACGATATACGGTATGCTACTTTCCATGGAAATTTTCGTCTGCGTTTTACGTGAGTAGAAATAATTAGGTGCATCAGTTTAAGTTCAGCAAACCATGAAAAAAAGGGGTTTTCAACCTACCGAGATAAGAGTTGAGGAAAATTTGAGTAATAAAGACTCAATTTGAGATGAAATATACCATCAGTACAACCATGTCTTTCAGGAAAAGAGATGTAACGATTTGAGGGAAAAAACACACACACGACTGACAGCTTTCAAATATATACGACAACTATGATAATTAATCTGCACGTTGAACGAAAACTGATACATTGAATGGAAATCAGAGGACTGAAATAAATACAGAAACATACTAGTTCAGCTTTAGGTGCCAGAACCATGAGGGCATAGAATGGGAGAACTGAGGTTGTTCCGACAGTAAAAGCAGTGCTAGCCATTTGAGAACTTGCCAACCCTGTAAAACAAAAAGAACATTGAGCTTATTTTATCAGTAATATTTGAAACTAAGCCTACCTCCAGTCCTCTCATCCCCTTATCCTCACAGTAACATGAGGGGCGTGACAGCAAACATCTGGATCACAAGAACATGAAATGGCTAAAAGATTTTTCAATTCCAGAAGTTATCAAACTTGCATGCACCATATGACACCGCTATTAGTAACTATTTACAGAAATTATTACAGGAGTTTCCGAAAGAGAGAACAATAAACTTAAAAGGTAGGGCGAAAGTGTTAATACCATATGTACCCAACAGCCAACACAATAGAACGAGAACAACGAAATCCCCAATTAAATTATATGGAAGGGCCTTGTAGAACTGGATATTGCAGTCTACATGCAACATAGAACAAGAAGTACAAGTGACAAGAACATTGGCAGAAAGAGTTATCAAGTGTTTCTAATGTTTGGTTGACCTTGATCTAGTCAGTTTGGCAAGCAGGATATTCACAGTGATCTTAAAAAACCATTCAGCAGCTAAAACCTGGTGGTCTCTAAGTTACAGCTTTTTTGTTCATATCCCTACATTGTTCTGCACATATGGGGTATATCAACAGCTTCACCCAAAACATGCTACAGACTTTTCAATTTTCATAGTTTTGTTGGACTTAGGCTTAGCATGAGATACTTGCGAATCTTTATCCTAAATTTGTACCTCAAATACCTCTGTTAGGAATCTGTTACTAGAAGAAATGTCTGAAGTAATAAACAAGTTACTAACATGCATAAAACTACTTTCGGACTTTGCAAGATATGCAAAAATTTAATAAGCCACGTAAAATGATGTTAATATACATGACTAAAAGGAAATAAAGTGGCAGAGGGGATCACATGACGCATATACTCGAGAGATTTTTCGAAGTGGAACGATACTCTCATGCCTTGGTCTCATAGTAACTCTCAAACCTCCCAAAAAACTCCAGCTCTTGTGTAAGTGAGCTCCTACTGTCACAAGCTGATGACCAAACAGTTCAGTTTTGCTACTTGTGAGTGGAAAATCGAACCTTTGTTTGCTTCCATCATTACTCCAAGGTCTTAACGTCTTCTTAGCGTGGTCAATCTACAAGAAACGGAAGTTCAATTGTAAGAGAAGTTCCCAAATCACAAGATCATACCGAGTAACTAAACACGTTATGAATCGGCCAATAATTCTTGGACATTACAAGTATTGACAGCAGCAGAAGCACAATAAAAATTACTCGAGCAAAGTAACCCATCAAGTTCACACAGCATTTTACTTTCATGAGCCCTCTGAGCTCTAAACTGTGACAAAAATTGCTTTAATTTCTAATTTTCTATATAATTAATATATACCATTTGGAAATTATATAAGCAGCAATAAAAGAAGAAGAGTTATTAAGGCCAAGAGAAACAATCTCTGCTGCACCCAAACCGCAAATCCAAAGAAAAAAACATAACTTTTCAACCTCTATGCCAAACTAGAGATTACCCATTTCGAGTGGATCATAAATTCATCAAAAACTAGCACAAATCTATAAACTACAAAGAAACTATATGAGAAATAAAAGATAATACCTTGGAAATGGAAGGGAGGGAAAAGGAAGAAGAGAGGGCCATGTTTTGTTTTGTTGCGAGACCAGAAAACCCAGGAAAACAACAATAATGGCTGATTCATTTCACTCGGTTTTTAAGGGATCCTTCGCTGAAACTTCGGAAAGAAAACAAAACAAAACGTGGGAAGTTGAGTTCGGCATTGGAGTGAGTAAAGTAGACTACTGTAAGCCTGGTTTCCACTGAGAGATGCACAGAACGGGACACATACGAAGCTCGGGACTTGTGGGGGAGAGAGAGAGAGAGAGAGAGAGGAGTTAAACGATTTTAAAATTGAATAAATTTCTCTAAAGACAACCGACCATTAAATTATGTTACAGAGGACAAGTAATTTCGAATGTAACATTTGTAATATAAAATAATGTCGCACCGTCATTTTTCTTAATAAGGAATGCTTGGTTACAATTTAGAATCTGTTATTATATGTTTGCTCTAGTTTTTATTGTTTTGATGTTGAAACTGTATTTCTTTATCCATAGGCAATCAGCTTCGATGTATTGGGGCTATATGTATCGGAACAAGTTATGATAGAATATGTCTTGTTCATCTAAATGAAATGAATGGAATGGCTATAGCAATTCCAAAAATAGTCAGACTTTCTGACACGTGCTGCCCGACATCCGAAGGTAACGAAATCATATTATGATGCATGAGAACTAGAAACAATTAACCGACATAAATAAAACTTGTAAATTTAATTATAATGAGTATGCAATTGTGGAACGTGTTCAAAGCATACAACTAATTCGAGACACTAAAAAGGAAAAATATAAAATTGAATGAGCAAAGGAATGGGTCCTACACCGAGAGGACTCAAAGATGCCGATGAGGGAGTGCATTGACGTCGGGATTGTACGCCTCAATTCTAAGTCATGAGGGAGCGCAAAACGAGAGCATGAGTGGATCAAGTTGATATATAAGTAATACTGAAACAATTATTCATCAACGTACTAACCCCCAAAAGTTTATGTAAACTCAATAGTATAATATGTAATAGGTTTTCCGAAAACCCTAACATGCCATAAAACCTTTCATAAAACATATATCATATATAGGGTGCTTAGTAGTAGTAGCACAAGGCATACACACACACACACGCACGCACGCGCGCACACACACACCAGCCTACGCTCGGCCAAAGCCATATATCTCAAAACGGAGCTCAGTAACTAAAACGTCATATCATAAAATCATGTTCATAAGTTTGTATATAATCATCAATCAGATATACCACAAAGAATGTAAAGTCGATAAAGCATCATAATTCATAAAGTGTGAAACCAATTTACTCATAAACGTTTAATAAAACCTAGCCATTATATCATGCTTTTCATGTATGCATTTCTAATAGTAAAATCATGCATTTTAGAAGGGGTCCACTCATAGATACTTTACCGTCGAAAAGCTGTGCAAACTAGAGAGGACAAAAAAACACCATAAACAATTGCAGCTAAGCACATAAAGGTACCAATTAATAAAACTATACTAAAATGATTGAATTTGGGAAAATAAACATCAAAAACATATTCACGATGTCGAAAAACCTAAGGGGGGACCTCCGGTCCCCCCACGCGCCGCCATGAGGCAGAAGCTCGGATGGCCACGCGCCGATTTGGGTCATTAGAAAGTTGGTCGGAAAAGTTACCAGGGCCACTGAAGACAGTGGCGGAGCACAATACCTCTGGTAGAGGTGCGTGTGCTTCACGCGCCGGCCAAGACAGACGCTCACATGCAAACCCACGCGTTGGCCAGGGTTCTGGGATGGGTCGGTTCAGCTAGGTTGGGCTAAGGGTTTTAGGCCGCAAGGTTGGGCCTAGGTAACTGGGTTTGGGTTTCTAGGTTATTGGGTTGGCCTGGACGATTGGGCCAAGTTCCATGGCCCAACTAGTTGGGCCGGCTTAGGTTTTGTGGATCGTGTTTGACCTGTTTCCAAGCCGGGTTGGCCGTTTCGAGGAAGAAGAAGGCCGAAGCTCTCCTAACTCTATTCAACCTCAAAACCCAACTAAAACCTATCATGCAAAATACCAAAATGAAGCCCAAGGAACAAGGAAGATATTCATACCAATAAGAGGTCGAGAGGTGGCTGGAGTTGGTTGGAAAACAGCCTGGAAGCCACGAGTCCCTCTTCGGAACCTGGGAAAGTTTCCTCGAGTAGATTTCCGCATCCATCTTCCTCCAAACCAAGTACAAGGGTCAAAAACATAACTAAAACGTCTAAAACTAGTCATTTGGATGGCCCGGGCTTACCTAGTTGAAGAAACCAAGAACTGGCCGGCGAGGTAGGTGTGCTCAGCCATTGATGGGTGTCTCTGTGCTTCACAGAGAAGGGGAAAAAGAAGGCAAAGAGTGAGGGTGATGGTGGTGGTGTTGCCGTCGTTGTTGTGGTTGTTTGGCTGTTAGTGGCTCGGAAATAAAAGGTGAGTGTAGAGAGAGAGACTTACGAGATGGAGAGATGAGAGGGACCTGAGAGTTGTGAGGAGGGAGAAAAGGGCACATGGTACAAAAAGGAAGAAAGAGGAGAGGGTCGGGGAACCAAAAAGGAAATGGGCCCCAACAACATATGGTTTAAGACCCACAAAAGCAACATTAACAAAATATCTTTCAACCCAAGGTGGAAATTACAAAAATGCCTTTCGGTTCCGTAAATTCTGGGACGGGTTGTTACAATCTACCCCCGTTAAGAAAATTTCATCCCGAAATTTGAAATAACTTACTAAAAGTAAATACTTGAAGATATGACGAAGAATATAAATATAAGAAGAAATCAAGTCAGAGTGGTTACATTAAAGAGAATATGTCACACCATCACCAGCGGGTTGCAATGGTTCTTCTTTGATGCCTCCAGGCTCATACCTTCTTCCCTTATTAGTATAAAAGTAGAAACATGCTTTATAAGGATATAATGTTGAAATTATATAATAACATAAGGTCAAAAGTATGTACATATAATATGATGACGTCAAAATAGATATGTACTAACATAGAGGTCAAAAAACTCGTACATAACTTAACATTAAAAGTGGAGATGACTCAACCAAACATTTGTAATGTCAAAAATACAATGTATAACTGATATAAGGTAAATCAAAATACTTGTATTGAAAATCAAAATCGAAAATGAAAGTGGGTTTCGCCCAAGCATTCATAACGTCACGTACTCCGAGAACAGGTATGTGTCTTTGGGTTGACAATAACTAAATAGTAACAACTATTGTATACTGGTCTACCTACCCACTTGCTTAATGAATCCAACGAATAAGTCATTGATATTACAATTGGCCGCTCGCGATATCGACAACACATTATTGTGTCAATAAACAAGTAGTAATTTCCTAAGGGTGTAAACATACTAATTTGTCCAACCACCAAGGCGACAACAACACAAGCACACAGTTTCTCGAATCGTAAAATCAAACATCCAAAAACCAATTCGCAAAAATCTACTGTCGAACCAGTCCTGCCAATAGAATCTATCATACCAAGTCTTAAATAGTGCCACACTCAAACTGCAAATAAAAACTATTGTCATAACTACCCCAAAAAGATTGGTGCAAAATCTAATCATTCAGAAACCACTAATCAAAAGAACACAACATGTCTTCCAAGGTCTAGATAGTTCGTTCAGACTGTCTAACAATCCATGAATAAAAATGCGATACAGGACAAACAACTTAGTACTCAAGGCCTTCACGAAAACTTCACAAAACTTAGAAGTGAAATGCGCATCACGATGAGGTACAAAAGTGATGATACACTGAGAACCAGAACAATGTAATTCACAATGCCTAAGCAAGCTAATTTATTGAAAAAAATCTCTCTCGGATTTAACAAACAGCTATGCCGAGAAGGCTAAGTGAACACCCACGAATTTAAGGGTCAAAACAAGTTCAACAAATCTAAAGTATATGGTAATTGAAGTGCATGCGTAGCTTTGATGCAAGAATACGTATAGGTACTTAACTTGATTCTATGGTGGCAAGTCGAGATGGTTGAATGCAGACTCGACTTGAGTGGTAGTCTAAAGTAATATGATAAACGGGAACTCAAACTTTTTCCCCATTCCAACTTTCACAACAACTTGTTATAATAAACTTAGGGATATACAAACACCAATGGTAATGATTCGCTCAACAGGATGTTAATGGGTGATTGAATGCCTGATGGTTCAGGCTAAAACTTTTGGATTTAAGTGGTTCTCCTGAATAGTCTCTCTGGTTTGGAAATGATATAGGTGTTTTAGGGTAAACACGAACCCAAAGTTGACTATAATGCTTTCTAGGACCAAGAGGTGAAAATAGGATTACGGTCGCAACTGATGTAAATTGAGACGTCAGTCAAACAGAAGTCTAGGATGAAGAATTCTACCAAGTGGTCAAAATTATAGTCTTTGCGAACTGGTAGATAATACGCTGAGTAAGTTGACCATCAAGTACCGAAACATCATCATGGTTTCCACGTGTACTAGGTGGTTTATACAAGAAATCTATGGTGACACTAGCCCCTTTCCATTCGTATCCCCAGTAGATCCTCAACAACCTAAGAAGGACAACTATGGGAATTTCTTCCCATCTCTACACACGAATAAAAAGAATTTGAGATAAGCCCGATGGCTTCCATCTCATCGTTTTCACTGATCAGTAATTAGATATTCCCTCACATATTAAGCAATAAACCATGCTTACAATACTCGTAATAAAGTGGATAAACCTAGTGGTACCATTCGATACTGCAAGCATGCATGACATACGTTGAAATATAAGTTGACAGTACTCATCATGAGATGAACGCCAAAGTAAAACAAATTCATCGAAGAGAAGGCGATAGTGGGATATGGATAGCTCGGATAAAGGTAAGCTGTCCATGGGATTTTTTGACTAAGAGCATCAGCTACGACAATTGCCTGACCATGATGGTACTCAAAGGTGCAATCAACTCACCGATGAGTTCCATCCACCTTTTCTGCCTCTAACTCAACTATTTCTGTGTGAAAACACACTACATCTTTTTCAGTAAAAAAGGACGCAACATTTCTTACTGTAGAGAAAACGTCACTAGATTTCACAGCAAGGAGAATCGTTACTAGCTCTAAGTCAAAGATAAGATGGTTCACATCATGCAGTTCCAAACGTCAAGAGGGACACACGTTACTCGATCCTGTTGCATCAACATGCATCCAAACATTTAATAATACACCATCGCAGAATTCAAAAAGTGTAAGAACTACGCTCAGATGAGACAATACTCCATTGTCAGAAACTTCGTTCACCGTTAGTATTGCAACAAAATTGAGTGCTTTCTTGGCC